AAAGTAGCACATCTATGGCAATGTAGGTTGGATTTTTGTTATTTTAGCGTAGATTTTTGAAAAGTGAGCAGTCAGATTGATCGGGATTGAGTAACTGAGGTCTCTTAACTGATACTGAAGATGTGGTGAATCTTCTAGGTTCACTCGGGATGTCTTTTCAGTTCTCCTGCTTCAAGACAACATCAATGATCTTCCCGAACTTAAAATACAATCATTAAAACCTTCAAAACTGCGTCTCATCCACTCATATCCCCATATATCCACATTCTTTACTAAATAATGTTGTATAAAATGATTTCACATCATTAGGCACGACGCTCATTACCTATTAAGGCTCAAGCTCTCAATTAAATTGCCGTTTTACTATTTCATTATGGACATCCAAAAATATCAATTTATTGGGCCACAAAAAAAACAAGAAATGATGCCGCTAAATTATTATAATTATCTTAAAATTTTCTTCAATGAATGTGCAGCACGAAAAAAATGTTTGGTCGTGCTCCAGAAAAAAATGGCATCGCGATCTACAGCCAAAGTGTTATTAAATTCATTAATCTTTTAAAAATATATTTATATGCTGCGATTAGAATTTGATATCTCCTTTTTTTTCCTTTTATTTCGTCCGTGTTGTTTTGTATCGCGGGCATCAAGGAGGTACGAAAGGAAATTAGAGGAGAGAAAACGATCCCTAATCATTACTTAAGATTACCTTCGTTAAGCCACTGAACTATCTAGAATAATAAATTTATATAAGTTTTCATGCTTTTGATAGAAGCTCCAGACAGCATAGCTAATCATCGGGTATCATAAATGAAAAATTGCAATAAAAAAAGGGCCAGCATAATTTACATGAAATTAGCGGTTTCTATTTGTTTTTTGATGTGCGATAACACACACATTTGGTGTTGTTGATCATATCCATTCATTCAAGTCTTTCGTTTGTTTTTATTTTTTTTATTGCACGATTCTCTTTAGATTATATCGCATCGGTTTATGAGAAATGTTTTATGCTACCTTTTTTTTCAGCTCCTAATCATATGTTTGTTTTGAGTTATTTTATGAATATTCATCTTATTTTATGCAAAAATAAAAAAATTGGAATCAAAAATCTTGAGATGGGATTAGAATATTTTCTGATATGGATTATTAAATAGTATGTTAAAGATATTTTTTTTTAGACATAACACTTTTTGATTAATAACTATTTAGATACATATTGAAATGCAGTCTATTTAAACATCTGCTTGGGATTTTTTTTGAGTGTCTATAAATGTGTTGGGGATCGAATGAAATGATTTGAATTTCAGTAAAGTTATAGTCAGTTTTAAAAACAATATTATTCAGCTAGTGAATATGGATCCCCCCCCCCCCTTCCTTTCTTCCCTCTCATTGGAGTTATTTTGATAAGATTGACACCATTGATTTTAGGTCTGGCATTTATAAAGTCAGATTTAAGTTCTAGATAACGCATAAGGAATGGTATGAGCAAAGAACCTTAATAACTTAATCCACTCGTCGTCTTGCAATATTCCTGAACAAAGTGACCTCAAACAATATTCAGCATGATTCTAAAATCAATTATCTTCCAAGTAAGTTCCTTAAGTCTTCAACAAGCAGAACTAAAACATTCAACCAATTAAATCTACATCACCAAACCAACGTATCTGAAAAATTCAAACAACTTAACATTTACACATCTAGTACGATTCTGTTACAAGAAAGAGACAGCAAATAAAGCGAACAGTAGCAAAAAGATGTAAGAAGTAATGAACACGAAGTAGAAGTACAACACGAAAGAAACAGCAGAAAACATAACAATTCATTCATAAAAAAATCACTCAATTAGTAAAACATGAATTAATACATCTATGAAATTAGCTAGACAAATTCATCGACTGTAGATTTGAAACCTAAAAAGTCATCGACGTGCAGAAATGAGTAAAAACTTGTAGACCACAAATCACCTTATTTCAATCAAATGTGACAAACTAGATGCTAGTGCATTAATCTAATTATCCAAATTTTAAACAGACAAATTAACTTCGAGCTAGACTTAAAAGCCACAATGCACAGTTAATTACGATCGAGTTGAGAGTAAAATTGCATGCGATTTTTTTTTTTTTGAGATATTAAACCTTTAACGCTAAATAATTATTAGCAATTAGAACATTTGTGCATGAACATAAGCCACCATTGTCAATAGAAAATTGATTAACCACTATTAGACCTTTTTATTTACTTCTTTTACTAAACTATTTGACCTTTCTTGTTTGACTATTGTACCAATTAGTCGATTGATTGTAACAAATATGATGAATTGATTGATTGATTTCAAGTTGTTTTGATGATTTTAATTGAATTAGTACATTTTAGCAATTTGCTAAGCATTTGTTAATTGAAAAAATAATGCATTAAGATAAGAAATTAATAAGGTGAGATAATGACGATTTAAGGTGCTAATTGTTTTTTTTTTTCATGATCATTGTTTAATTGATGCTCTAGGAATAGCTCTCCAAAACTTAGATTTAAAGGCTCACTTTCCCACATTTTGTTACTAAATCAACGAATATTAATCAGGAAATAAAAAGACACGATCATAAATGCGATTTAATTCAGCATAATTTCCCTTGCCGACTCACAAACTCCGCAGAGAATAATTTATTCGTCTATTTATGATTACTCAATCACAATATGACAGCATAACTATAAAACTCAACATTTCATGTCACAGACAAAGGAGAAAATGATGTTTATATAGTGTCAAATGACAAAACATTAGGAATTCATTTAAGTGATCTAGAACGTGGGTAAATCATGCGTGAATTCTTACAAATTGTATGACAAAAAGTTCAATAAATCCACACATGAGCTGGCAAAAATCAATCATAACAATTAACTCACTCAACTTAATGTGAGATATTTTTCATTGCACATTCGAGTTCTGACTTAATATGCATGTAAATTACACAATTTAGTACCTTAAATGTAACATAAAACCTTAACTTATACAATCAATTCATGCGAGCAACATAAGAACAAATAAAGCGTGTCATTTGATATGTTAATCCGCAACCAATTGCAACAATTGTGCTAGTTTGTTTTTAAACATACAACACGCGGTAATAATCTGTGCCAATAATATTATTTTACTGATGCATTTACAGGTACTGCAGTCATCATTGTGATGGTTAAAATACTTCTTATTGCTGTGATTAAGATGAAATTGGAATTGCATAACAAACTGTCATAATTGGCACTAGCGTAAAAGATTATATCTTCTTATTATTTTTTTAATTTAAATTCATTTTCCTGCTACTAGTTTTTTTTATGAAAGACTTTTTGCAGTGGACTTTACCCATTGAGATCAATTTGTCAGACATTTATTAATGCCAGGGGGTTTATAGTGACCCTAATAAGCTGAAGCTATGCGACACGAACTGAGAGAATTGTAGCCAGACAGACAAACTACGAAAACTTTCTAGATTGAGAATGTCAGACAGCAAAAAACCACATAAATTCCAGTTTAATCATTCTGACAAAATCCACAACATATCAGTCATGCTTACATATGTCTATATTTGTACCTTTTTATAAGTACTTCCATGCATCTTAATTCAACTTCAGAAAGGTAAGCTCAAACAAGCCGGTTGTTAAATTAATTCATAAAAAAAAGCTAATCAACTTGTTTCTTTCGATCAAGATTTGCTCATTCACGTGTGCTGCAATTTACTTCCAATAAGTTTATATTGACTCATTCAAGTTCAATGGCTTGATATATCGTGAAAGAATTGATTCAATTTGATTTTTATCGAATGTTGTTATACAATTATTGTTGTGATTTTGTGCTGTTTCGCATTTAGCGCTGTTTGGTATCAATGAAGTATGTAAACCATGCAAAATTGATATGATGATAATTTTTATTCAATTAAAAATCAATTAAGAGCTCAGGTCTAGACACAAATCTAGAAAATAAGTTCAATATTATTGAAATTAAGCTTTATTTTGATTGTTTATTAATTATTTAATTGCAATGAACTTAATGAGCTAGTTACGTTCAGTCAGGGGCGTAAATAGAATTTTTTTAGCAAAACTGTTCCTTGATGCTTGTCTAAAAGTGATCAAGATTTGATATCAAACTAGATTTTAAAAAGCAAGAGGAAGTCTCATGAGAAAACTTGAATCGTAATCATATTATTATCATTTCCAATTACTAAAAACACGTCATCAATTAATTTCTTTCTTGAAAGAGAAAACGAAACAACCGGAAATTGTTGTTGTTCTGACAACATGCCTATAAAAGTGTCATAAACTCGTAATAAAAATGATCTTATTGTATGTTAAATGACTCATAATAAATAACAGCTTTAGGTGCATGCATTGAGCAACCTTCACTGATGTGGAATATTGAGATAAAGTTTCGGATAAAACACTAAAGGCTAAAAGGTGACTACACTTCGAAGTTAAATCCTGAATTGAATTTAAATTTAGATTCCATCCATCTAATTTATTTTCATATTTCAGAATATTTATGTTTAATGCATCACGACATTCTGCTACCTTGTCTTTCATGCCAGTAGCCTTATCATGTTCAAAATCAAGCACCATCGAGTTTCACGGTCAATTTAAGAGACATGAGCTTCTGGTGGATAACTTACTTAAAACTGTAATCCATAAATGACTTGCTTTACTTGCCTTCTAGATGTTCAACTTTTTATTCAAAGTAGCCATTCCTGAATGAGTCTTTAAGTCTGGTCTGTTTAACAATTTCTGTGCTACATTTCATCTTAAAATAACAAAAAACAATCACAACCTTGAAACGGCTACAATTTCTTTTTCTTAATGCACATTCACCGACATTAATCAACTCTCAACTTTTGTCGATTGCATTTTTTGGAAATTAAATTATCTGCAGGTTTAACTTGACAGCATATAATAAATACGACAATTTTAAATAGTTTCAAATACACAAAAAACAAGATCCTGATTTAAATTATATAATCAAAGTCATTTATTCCAACAGTCAAGTTTACAACTTTTTAACAAAATCTAATGAAATTCGTTTCCCATTCTCGCCAATGCTAAGAATCTTGCATTCAACTTTATCACCTAATTTAAGAGGTATTTTATACTTGCTTTTATGCAGCAAACCATCCTGTTGCACTCCAATGTCAATAAATGCTCCAAAATCGACAATGTTTCTGACAATTCCATTGACTGACTGATTTGTTTGCAAGTCGCTCAACTTTTGAAGACCTTTCTTGAAGTCAGGCTGGAAATTCGTTTCATTTCTGTAATCATAGTTGAGATCTTCATTAGTCAGCACATCAAGGACAGTTTTGACTCGTTCTATGTCTTCTTTAAACTTTTTGGCCAGATCTTCAATTGAATTTTTTTCAGAATATTTCTTGATCTCAGCTTTGAAGTTCTTTCGTCCTAAATCATCAGCCTTCAACTTGCAATCTTTAAGAATTTTCTCGGTCAATTTGTAGCTTTCTGGATGAATTGAAGTCGAATCAAGGATATTAATCTTCTCATCTCCACAAGTCGACTTGTCAATTCTAATAAATCCAATCATTTGAGTGTAAGTCTTCTCACCAATTGTCTTTACTTTAAGCAACTCATCACGTGATTTAAACAGTCCATTTTTCTTCTTATGCTCCAAAATGCACAAAGCCTTCTTCTCAGTCAATCCAGCAATAAACTTGAGTAGGCTCAAACTAGCGCAATTAATGTCGACGCCAACATAGCTTACACATTCACTGACGATCGAATCCAACGTACTGCTTAACCGCTTCTCATCGACATCATGCTGATACATTCCGACTCCTAAATGCTTAGGCTCAATTTTCACTAATTCTGATAGAGGATCTAATAATCTACGAGCAATTGAAACAGCACTGACGACATTTGTGTCCATTTTTGGGAATTCCTTCTTGGCGATATCACTACAAGAATAAATTGATGCTCCTTGCTCGGATACAATGCAGTATTCAACATTGTTCAACTTAAAATCCTTAATAATCTTATCCAAAAATGTTTCAGTCTCTCTACATGCTGTTCCATTTCCAAGAGCAATCAATGTGCATGAATTTCTCTTCAGAATATCGACAAGATTCCTAGCCGCTTCATTAGCTTTATCTCTTGAACTCGCATGTGGATAAATTGTGTCAGTTTCAATAACTTCACCAAACTCAGAAATCAAAGCTAATTTACAGCCATTCTTAAAGCCTGGATCAACACCGAGAATCTTTCTTCCTTTGACTGGAACAACAAGTAATAAATTCTTCAAATTATCAGCAAAACTTGAAATAGCTGCCTTATCAGCAAGATTTTGCAGTTCTGTGCGCAACTGCCGAACAACAAATGGTGAAATTCTCTTTGAGAAGGCTTCCTTGAATGCATCATCAAAAATCTTGCTCCTCATTTCATAATCAGCTCCTCTTTTAAGCAATTCATCCTTCGCAAATTTGTTGAGATTCTTTTGGAAATAGTCATTGAATGTAAATGAAAGCTTCAATATCTTCAAACTTTCTCCACGGAACAATGCGAGGATCTGATGTGGCTTCAAATTGCTCGTTGCCATTGAAAGGTCAAAGTATGTCTCGAACTTGTAAGCATTTTTGTCCTCTTTGGATGCTTTTGTCTGCTTTGATTCCACTCTGATTGTATGTATTTCCTTCAATCTGCGAATCTCCTCGATTACCAATTTATTCTTAAAGATCATGTGAACCAGAATGTCCTTGACACCTTTCTCAATTTCACTTGGTGACTGCAATCCTTCAGTTTGTTTGTTGACGTAACTTTCAAAAGGCTTTAGCTTCTTACTTCCAGCTAAAAACTCAGTAGCAACTGAACCTAGTCCCAACTCATTTGCTCTTTCGAATAATGTTCGTTTGCCTTCACTTTTGTGGAGCGATTTGATGAATTCAAGTTCCTCAAAAGACTTAATTTCTTTGATGTCACTCTTCAGTTCTTCACTAATTTCCTGCTTCTTTTCCAGAGTCTTATAGAAATTCTCAACTTTACATTTTAAGTCACGCACAGAGTTTAATGTACTCTGGATGTCTCGCAATTTCTCTGGAGTTGTATTTCTAATTAAATGCTTGCGATATCTACACAGGAATGGAATTGTATTATCATTGTCTAATAAATCTATTAGAGTCTGTGATAGATCAACGTCAATTTGTTCCTTATCAGCTAGAAGCTCATAGTCCTTCCAAGCAATTACCGGTTCATTATTCTGATTCTCCAAGTTACTGTAAAAAACATAAAAATTTAATTTTCATAAAACTTTTTGAATCTTTTAAAGAACTTACATCTTAACTTTCTTTGTTTTAGTAGCTATAGTCGAATTCTCATCGACGATTCTCTTTCTTTTGGTTGCCATTGTAAAAATAATCAATTACAGTAAAATCTATCACTTTATACTATAGTTAACAGGTAGTTTTATTAAAATTTGACTTAATATTAAAACTAGTGTATCAGGTAGAAACCCAATGCGGATTATATTCACACCGTACCATCAAAAGTCTTATGGATAGACCAAGATTTGCCCAGCATAAGTATTAAGGTATGAAGCTTGATAAGTTAACTGAGCTTCGCTCAGCATAAATTTTAAGGTCTAAAGCTTAACGAACATTCTTTAAAGTTTTTTAAAAACATTTTTCATCCAAAGTTTAATTTTATAAAAATCTCAGTAAACTTTTGTTTTGAAAAATTCGTAAGTAAGGAAAGTTTTTTGCTTTTTCTGAAGCAACGGCTGTTCCTACCTTGCCCAAAAACAATACAGCTCTTCTATAGAGCAGCACGGATCAAATGTAAAAAACTAGAAGTCTCTACGATGTCTCGTTATTGAGATTTCTTGCTGATTAATTTGCTTGCAAAAGATGTGAAATTTCAGGCACAAACTTTTCATCTTAGAACATGTTAAGCTATCTTGCTACATTTCATCGCAAAATGCGAAAAACTGATATTTCAATCATAACATAACCAACAGATTCAGACGTGAAAACGGTGTGAATATAATACAAGAATCTTTTGTTTACAAATTATTCCCGCCTGAGATTCTGCAACTCAAAAAATTCCAAGCCGTTATTTTTTCAAATTTTTTTCTGACCGTTTTGTTATTTAACATTCTTAACTTTGAATTAAACCAAAATTCTCGAAATGTCAAGTTTTCTCAGTTTTCTTGAAGACTAGAATCAAATTACTTAAGATTAATATCTTAATAATGTGTGAAGCCTTGACAAACTCTTGTAAATTTTATATCACACAATTAATCGCCAATTTAATTTTGAGTTTTAATCTAATAATTAACACCTTATTGCATGTTTGAGGAGACAAGTCAATCTGGGATCCTTGATCACCCCAATGCAGTGTCAAATGCTTGGTTTTATAAAAATAAATCACAAACATTGTATCTCTGAATTACTATTGACAACCTTTGATTTAAAACAATTCTAAGCATATAATTAATCAGCTGATTTCAAATCACTCAAAACATGTCCATTTTTTTTTGCATTGAATGTGTTTGATTGTAATTCTTTCCATGTAGCACCCACCCAAGCATATTTTTCAATCAAAAGTTTCAAACTATTCAAAGAAACTCGTTAATTATGCTTTAGATATTTTCCGAAGTAGTTCCATTAATTTCTATAGATATTATATGTGAAATAAAATATGCTATTAATTATAATTAACTTAGCTATGTGCATAGCATCTGTATTGAATGCATATTTTGCTCAATAAATGCAATATTTTTCTAATTTTATGAAGTGATACGATTATTGAGCTTTTAGTGCGAAATTTATGATTTTTCCTGCAATTCAAAATCACATTTTAGATGGAAAATGTGCAATTAAGAAGAAGTTGTTGGCAAGCAAGTGGATATGAGGCTGAAAGCTTTCAAATGCTAGTATTGAGTATGGAATGAGCGAAAAAAGAACTTTTTAAGAAGATTTCAAATTTTACAGCTTTTTCCCCTTAATAATTAAGATTATAAGTAAATAACCTATAAATTATAAATTAGATTAAAAAACAATAAAAACGTTAATATATTGTTAAATGACATAATTATGCAAACGAGATGAATAAAAATTGATTTAATTAGTCAAGTATTAGATGTAGTGCTAATATAACATGACAAAATCAACTCATTATGTTCACACTGTTTAGAAAATAATATCTATCGCTACTTAATGTGCGACAAGAGCTGTTAACTCATTGATTGCAGTTGACATGCTTGATGTGAGTTGACAACAGGTTTTGCTTAGAATGAGCAGCGCAAAACGACAAATTGGTGTTTTTTATTTGGTTTGAGCTTAAATGGATAGACGAAACAGTAGGCAAATATTGTGTTTATTACTTGACAAAATTGTGGAAGTCAAGAACTAATTACTACGAATAAAAGTCTACATGGACCATTTGCTGGAAGAAATGTGGCTCCAAAGCCAGATTCTAGGATGTAATTTGATGTCCTTGATTAGGAAATTTTACTCAATTTATTATACCTTATTTCAAAAAGTTACAAAGTTTTTAAGCTACTTTCGTGCATATGAAACCAAAGATCTTTGCTGATAAAAATGTGGACAATTTATGTAATTTTACATGCGTGCATAATTCAACCATGACCCTTATGATATGATCCCTTGCTTTAATTACTAATTTGTATAATAAAATAGATAATTTAAATTAAAATTCAATTAAGTAAGCCAACAACTTTGTTCGATATGAGGTAATATTAATATCTATGGAATAAAATAATAAAATATCTGAATCCATTCTAAAATTCATAGCTAAAATTTACATTAACATGAAATATTCACATTAGAAAAGAAAAATGTTTAAGCATCTGATCACTATTGCCAACTAATTGACTTTTTAAATGGACATTTTAGCACTTGATCATGATAATAATATACCGGTAAAAATTAATATTTTTAAATAAATATTTTCCTAATGAATACGCAAACAAGTTTATAAGCATTTGCTCATATCAAAGTTGAAAGTCGTGGGATCATGACCATTAAATAATTAAAAAATTTGCACATTATAATTATTTGTAAGAATTTTGAATTATATCTTAATAAAATCTGGCAATATGCTGACAATTAATCATTATCGTGTAAATTTATTAGCAACACTTTTTCCAGAAACTTTAAGGCAGTCGGAATTTATTTTTATGTGAAATATCAAATTAATTTTATTATATTTTTTAAATTCCGATGAGAATTAGACATGAATGATTATTAATAGTTTTAATTATTAAAACTCGATGTTTTGCTTCACATTTCATCAGCTTTTGTGGATCTAGAGCAAATTTGATCGACTTAAAGTTAATTAATGAAGTTAGAACAAAATCAGTCAAGCAGTCAGAAATTGACGGTAATGAAGTGTGCGAATAGTCAAGAGTCAGTGATTTATTGGCTTGTTTCGTCATAAATGAATTGTTCTTAACATTGCTTAGCTTAATAAAAATTCTGATATATTCCTAGTCGTCAATGCTTAAGATTTGGGGTCAACAACTAAAAATCTCACTTAAAACTTAAATTCAATAAAAATTCTTCATAACCACAAGTTATCCTTGATTGGTTATTAATAAAATTGAATATATATCATTAAAATATATTTTACATTAGTCCAAAATTCTCAAAAAAAGATCTTAGACTTAGATTTTATTTCTTATGAATTTTATTCACGTGCTTCTGAACTTTTATTTTACTTGATATTTCTTTTGTGGTTTTTAACAAGTACATTATTGTCTGATTTTTTTCTGAAGTTTCTAATTCAATAAAATAAGATTTAAAGGTATCTGTTTCAGTTCTTTTGTGATATTATGTAATAATAAAATGCCGATTATAATTAAATTTACAGCTTGTTCCTGGTTAACCAGATTGAGTTCAAAGATTCTGAATATATAATTTTTTAACACTTGTTCTTGATTTTGCTCCCGTTCCACTTAATATTAGACATCATAAGTGAAATGTCAATACAAAAAATATTCAATTGATTCGCGCTCATTTTATAGATCCAATATACATGTTCAATTAAATAACAAAATGCAGTGACTTTCATCTTGTGACTTAAAAATGTTTTTTATTGTCCACTGAACCACCTTGAACTTGCTTTCGTTACTCAAAAAAAAGTTAACTTTTTATGCACGAGATAAAAACAGATCTCGTTTAAGTTGTGAGCACATTGTTATTGTTTCTCACTCTTTCTTCTCCGAAAAATAAGAGCTTGTATGCAAGTGGTCGATGTAATGCCTATGACATTGGATGAATCAGATGTTATCTGGGAAATTTATGAGAAATGCTGCAAGTTGGTTGTTTGAAGGTGCAAAAAAATAAATAAAGTAAAAATGTGGATTCTGACTCTTAATTTTTTCAGGAAAATGGTGGTCAAGATCTTTTGTTACGACCAAAGTCCACTCCCCAAAAATTCTAAAATTATTTAAAGAGATAATAAATCAATTCAGTCATACCAAACTCCCAATTAAGCTTCAAAAACATCACCAAATTAATTATTTACGCAATTCAATAAAGTTTCAAACTCAAAGATCAATACTACCGTCAACCAATAAATCGAATTAAACCAATGCTTAAGCAATTGGAAATTTAACAGAACAATAAGAATCAAAGCCGAATCCAATCAAGAAAAATATCTTAATCGACTCAATGTCATCGATATCCCTCGACTGTCTTCTCATTCAGAACATTTTCTCAATTAATAAACAACATAGAAACAGCGAAAAAATTGGTAAATTATACTCACTGCATTGTCGGTGTCTGTTGAGGTTTTTTTTCCATATTTTTCTCTCTCTTCAGGTGTGCGTATGCCGTCAATTGGCTTTAACAAGGGTGGGAGTACTTACATATAAAATATAAAACTGGTGCAACATGGAAAAACATCAATTAGTTGGCTTTTGATCTTTTCAGACTTAACTTGGGTTATAAGGAAGTTCAGTTTATGGAAAATTTGGTGAAAAAAAATTTTTTTTGTGTGAATTTAAAGGACTGAAAAAAAAATAAAAAAAATTTAAAGACTGAAAATTTTGTGAATTTAAAAATCACCAAAAATTAACAATGAATCCATCAGGACTTCTCCTTCTACTCACCTTAATCACTCTTACAAGTGCAGCTGTCAAGCTTCAAGAACGCTTCAACTGGCGTCAACTCGATTGGGTCTTCCCAAATCCACAGATTCGTGAACGTGCTATTGCCAGTGGTGATTACATTCCAACAAATGGATTACCTGTTGGAATTGAAAGATGGCAAAATAAATTGTTTGTGTCTGTGCCGAGATGGAGAAATGGTGAATATTTTTAAAATAGTTTTGGTGGAAATTTTCATAAGTGGAAAGTTAAAAACAGAAGAAAAAGTTGAAAAAGTGTGAATTAAAGAGTTTTTGGATAATAATTTTAATTTTTTTGAAGCTTGAATTTTTCAAAAATTCAAAATTTAGACTTAATGAAGAATTTTTGAAATTTTGTAAGAATTCAAAAAAACAATCAAAAATGAAAAATAAAACAGATCTCCGCAACATTGTTTATGTTAAATTTCCACAGCCATGAACATGAAAAATATTTTCATCACATTTTGCAATTCCGTTGCAAATAAGCTGTTGAAAATGCGCATGAAAAAAGTTACCATTACTGCAGTTCAGGAAACAAACATCATAACAACAAATTATTTGCTTATAATTTTTTCATGCCACTTAGTTATGTCTCACTTCTCTCTTACAACTTCACAACAAAAAAAAAAGCTGTCCTAATGCTCATTATTGCACATTACATGAACGTCAAAAAGTGCACTTTTATGCAATTGCGTGTGTGAGAAAAAAAAAAGTTTTTAAAAATTAAAAGAGAAAGAAGTGAAATAATTGATAACAAAAACAGAACCTGTGTGTGACTTTTAAGTAATGCAAGGCTGTTGCGACAAAAAGTAATGAGTAAAGTGGAATGTCTTGAGAATTGTAGAAATGGCAAGAAGGTGGACTGGATTTGGAATTTAATTGGGAAAAGACTTCAAAAAGAATTTATTGGAATTTGTTCAATTCGAGTAATTTTTATTTTTATTTTAAACAAAGCTAGGTTAAATAGTAAAGAACCATCTAGAAAAATGTGAACCATTCGAACACATTCCTAACCTTACTTCAACAACAATTTCAAGAACTCTCCGGGAAAAATTAAAAAGATAGAATGCAAATTAAACATGTAAAATATGCGCAGATAATTCAACTCAGATTTTAATTCAATTTAATACATTTTCACACGAATGCAAAAATAACAAATTTGTTTATGATAATTTAAAAAGTTTTATTGACGTTATGTAGGCTAAGACACTTAGATACGAGATATTAAGATACAAAATTACGTTGGATTTATTTGCTCAAGCAATTAATTCTGAGGAAAAATCGTACCTGATTCTAATATGTTGAAATATTTTCAATAGACTTTTCCATTCCTGACGGTCACGCAGTGGGTAGCTTATAGTTAATTTATTAACGTGATTTCAAATGTTTTGCAGTCTGAAAAGTTAATTTTACATTTCAAAATAGTTGATTTTTGTTCTCTTTTAGCTAACTGGAATGGGCTTTGTATTAAATATTTTTGAGGGGGAGTTAAACCTCCTTCTTCTTGCCATGTTCATACTAGCTATGACAATTTTTGTAATATTTATTGCCACAAATTTTAAACGACACAAGTAAATTTATTATTACAATATTAGCGCTGTCAATCATTATCAAAGTAAAGCAATCAAGGAACTATTTTTCCCAGTCATTCAACAATTAATTTTTAAAAAATATCAAATCAAAATTTTTACAGCTATTCTTTCAATACTTTTAACACTTCCATAAACTATTTAAAATTGATATGTCAAAAATAAATTCAGTACTTATTAATTCTTCCCAACCCTAAAACTCAACAGCTGATCACAAAGTTTCAATAATGACCAGCAAAAAAAGTTGATTTTCATTTATTCAGACATTTATTGTTATCAGATTTACCTTCATGCTTGAAAATCGAATCATTAATTTAATATTAAAGTGATTAAATCCATTTAATGCAAGTAATAAAAGTAATTCGACTACAAAAAAAATTGAGAACAACAAGTTACGAATTATGGACAAAGAAGAAAGTGAATTATAGCTCTTCATATTACTGTAATGTGGTGTGAAATTTTGTAACTTGAGTATACCGGTCCACAAGTGATAAATTCGGTACTTAAGTGATTCCAGCTAAAATTATAGGTTATGTAAGAAACTGGCTTATATTTCTGGCTCATTTTCTGAGAAGTTTAAGTAATTTCAATTCAGACTTGTCTGTAATATAAATCAGCAATTCAATTCGCCCAAAAGAAATCCATAAAAAATTCCAATTCATGCCCATACAGCCAAAACGACATTATATTATCATATTCAATGCTCCACTTACCCAAAAAATGATTTTAATCTTTTACTGATGCAGTCGTGAGTTTCCGTACAAAATCCTTGAATCAACTTTTTTTCATAAAACTCGAGATAAAAAAATTAATTGTAAATTCACATGTTGGCAGACAATCGTTTACAAAAAATTCCAGCATGCAATTGACATGTCTGCTTGTAGGTTCATAAAAAGGGCAATAGCAAGAAATAAGAGAAATGTTTTAAAAAATTGAAAAGCTTAAAGAGGGATAATAATTCTAAGTAATGAAAAGAATGGAGTTAAAGTATGGAAAAGCAGCATTTTCGAAGTTATAATGAAAAATATTCTCAATTCTTAATTTTCAAAAATTCAAAAAATTTACTCAACAGATCAAAACATTTCATCATCCTTTCCCGTCGAACAATCAGACAATCGATCAATCATTCAACTAGAAAATAAGCTAGCTAGTCAAAAAACTGGAAAAATAATCAGAATTTTTCTTAAAGAAATCATGAACCTCCTAGTAAGGTATATTATTGGAATGTCTGTTGGTCAATTAATGGGTGCCTTCTTGAATAGATTTGTCATCAATATAGTGACAGAATTTATCAGTTACCCAATCAGCGAGTATATTTGTAAGATAGGCAGAGAAATGTTCATTCAATATGCTAGGTAGAAACTTAATTTGTCCACTAGCTTTGATAAGATACAATTAATAAGATTAAGACCCGAGTTAGTGATCGAAAAAAGAAGAAGGAAGACAAACGGTAAGACATAAATAAATTCTTTTAAGCATGCAAGACAAATGCAAACATTAGAAAGTTGTATTTTTATAAACTAATCAAGTATTTAGTCAAGCCTAATTGCCTTAAGCATTAGGCATAAATCTAGATAAATTAAAAACTCATGTAGTTATTGAAATAATGGGATCAAAGTTCTCATCCATTTATAATTTTTTTTTTGGGAATTTTAAATATTTTTTGGTAATGACATAAGATTTATGTAGCCATCAATAACCATTTAATAGACAAAACATACCTGAAATTCCTCATTTTCCTTATAAGTCTGCTAAAATTGATCCTCTTGCTCAATAAAACGAAATAGCAGGTTTCAGAGAATTTCATCAAATCCTACTCGAAGATAATTAAGCGCCCACAACAAAAGAAAAGATTCACACATAATCTTAGACGAAATTTCATAATTGATCATTTAGCACCTTTTCCTTGTGCGATTATGGAATCAATTCAAGATGTTTACACAAACAGTTTATTATTGCTGCGTTATGTTTTGTTGTTCTTCTTGCATTCTTGATGCTTTTGTTGTGTTTTTGCTGTTCTTGAATTTTTTTGTTCCTGTCTTATTTCTCATGGTGTTCTGAGTCAAATGAATTACAGACGAAAATTTCTGCAACTCATTTTCACGTAGCCTGAACTAGTTTTTAAGATAAACAAAAACTTAAATGATGATTTTTAAATTGAGTAATTTGACAGCTTGAGCTGAGCAAAATCTTCCCGTTTCCAATCCGTAATCCCAAAAACCTAAAATTCAATTTAAATAAATCTTTTAAAAATTAGCTTCACTGATTAATCCCAAATCGTAATTGAATACTTAACGAATGATCAAACACTAGCGTTTATGCTTCATTGAGTAAATTTTTTACGGTTCCATCAGTGATTTCATGACATTGGCAATGAATGTTATGCTCAATTCAAGGTTTGCTTTATTCATCATTAGACTCTTTTGCATGCATAAATAAAATGTAAGTTTACATCCTACATTGATTTATTTCAAAAATAATAAAACATACAAGCTACTGTAAATAGTTCATAAATCTGTTGCCATAAACCATTTTATTTGCATGATAAATGTCGATCATAAATTATCTACGGCTTAAAATGCAGCAATTTTTAATTGATTAACGTCACCTCGTTTTTGAATAAATTATTAAGCGATTAGATTTATGCTGCTAATTTTTTTGCAGCCTTAATGACTGCTTGTTTTTTCATTAATGCTAATCCACGCAAATCTGTTGCAATTGAGTGATAAAACTGCTACTTTGTGAAAAGCTTAGGGTTGATTATAAATGATGTTTATTGAGAAATGTCGGACATTATTATCTGGCCCCTCCCCCCCTCAACTACTCAATTTTTAACTTCTTACCTTTATCACAACTTCGTTAAATAATGTTTCACTAAAAATGACTTTCAGGCTAGCTTTGCCACTACTTTGCTGCACTATATTTACTAAAAGTAATCTGTTTTCTTTGATCACTTAATAAAATCATTTCTGTTGAAATTTCCATCCAGCATTAACTTCCTGATACACCTAATAAATTACAAAAGACAAATCACTCTAGTTTTCTATCACAAGGCATGAAAAATTAGCTTTTAATTGGGTGGAGAGACAAGCATGTAAATGCCATACAATGTATTAAATTCAATTAATTAGCAGTATTGCATAACATTAAAAACAAAATTTGATGCACTCATGTGCAGTTGGTAATTAAGAAAAAACTATTTTCTAATTGAATGCTCCAACGCCTTGAACTAGATTCTTTTAAAATTTTACGTTACAAGTCGATAAACGTCAAGCTGACACTTTTATGATTCGATTCGATGATTTTTAAAAATGAAAACTTTGTTGAGATATTAAATATATATCGGCTAGCCATATCTGAGACATTAAAATATTTTTATTACACTTGCACTCTCATTTAGGTATACCGGCTACTTTGAATTATATCGACATGAATCGTACACCGAGTGGATCTCCAGCACTCATTCCTTATCCAAGTTTAGAGAACAACATTGCTGGTGATTGTGCAAATGGATTGTCGACAGTTTATCGTATTAAAGGTAAGTAATGCGATGCTTCAGATTCTCTTGATGATTGAAGAATTTCCTGATGGCATTTTTTGAATTCCCTAATAGTTCGGGTTATGGGAAAATTCCTCAGATATTTCTAGAGTTTTGAACACGGAGCTGTCCATTATTAACATCAGTAATTCAACAATTTCTCTTTTTTCTTGATCTACAGCTGACAAATGTGGACGTTTATGGGTACTCGACACTGGTACTGTTGGCATTGGAAATACAACACAAAATGTCTGTCCATATGCCTTAAACGTCTTTGATTTAGCTACAGACAGACGTATTCGTCGCTATGAACTCAGACCAGAAGACACGAATCCAAATACTTTCATTGCCAACATTGCCATCGATATTGGAAGAAATTGTGAAGATGCATTTGCTTACTTCTCAGATGAACTTGGTTATGGCTTGGTTTCATATTCATGGGAGCAAAATCGATCATGGAGATTTGAGCATAGCTTCTTCTTCCCAGATCCACTTCGTGGTGATTTCAATGTTGCTGGCTTAAACTTCCAATGGGGTGAAGAAGGTATCTTCGGTATGGCTTTGTCACCACTTTTAGCTGATGGCTCACGTACTCTTTACTTCAGTCCACTTGCATCACATCGTGAGTTTAGTGTTTCAACAAGAATTCTTCGTGACGAAAGTCGTGTTGAGGAAAGTTATCATGACTTTAGTTACTTTACTGAGGAACGTACAGGTGGTGGACATACAACATCACGTGTCATGAGTGACGATGGTGTTATGCTTTTCAATTTGATTGATCAAAATGCTGTTGGATGTTGGAATTCAGGAACAACTTATACACCAAGAAACCATGATATTGTTGACCGTGATGATGAAGGTTTAGTCTTTCCAGCTGATGTGAAAATTGACGAGACAAACACTGTTTGGGTTATTTCTGATCGAATGCCTGTCTTCCTTATTGCTGAACTTGACTTTACTGACATCAACTTCAGAATCTTCTCAGCACCATTAGATAATCTTTTGCAAGGAACTGTCTGTGCTGCACGCCGTGCACCACATCGATTCTCACCAATTTCGCTTCTTAATAAACATGAAATCTTCGATTATGTCTCTGATGCTTTATCACCTGGCTACCAAGCACCAAAATTAATTGGATATACAGGCCCAACAACTCATGGCTTCCAAACACCTAAAGCTTTTGTCTATAATCAACATAACAATGTAGCATTAAAGACAGAATCACCACCAACAACAACTTATTACTCAAGCAGTTACACACCGTTCGCTGGACATAACATCTTCAATTCTAATGCTGCAAATTATCAAAAAAAGAATGAATGGGGAAACCAATTCTATTATTAAGTGTTGTTGTCTTCAAGACTGTAAATTAATGACATTTGATGAATTTATTTTCGAAGGGTATGAGAATATTGTGATGAGTGTTAATATCATAGCTAAGGCAGAGTAGCAGTGTATTTAAAACCTAGCGATTCAGTTAAGATTACTAGGTGATTTTTAATTGAATTCTAGTAATTGTATGTAATCATCACACTATTCTCATGTTCTTCAAGAAACTTATATAAGCTAGTGTATTAGAAAAAAAAACCTAATAATAATTATTACCAACATTCAAGTGAAAGGAAGCGATATTATTTATTTGAAATTTCACATTTACTCATCATTCATACTTACATTTGAGCTCAGTAAATTACCAAATTTTTGATATTATTTGACCCGAGTGGTACCGTGAAATTGAAATTGTAATGCATGTGCGGGTTAAATAATCTGATAATCGCCTGACAGCAAACAATTAACCGCTCGGGTGAAGCAGTAATAAATTGCAATGAATTTAGCATAAAGCATAAAATTCTGACATAGAAATTAAATACTTACTGAGTGTATTTATTACTCCATTTATTTTATTTAATCCATCATTGATGAATGTAAATATTTTTTTCAAATTGCCAATCAGATTATAAATATTACTGACTAAGCTCCAAAGCTATATCATGGTTAACTTTTGAAAACTTATAAATTAACAAAAAAAAAACTGAAATTATTCGAGATTAAAAATGTATTTTTGTATATCAAATTATTTAAAGTAGATTTAATTGCATTTTATTCATTTCAATAACAAATAAATTGACGGCTGACTTGATTTCAACTGACTAAACCTTAAAAATTGAACCAGTGAATTTAAAATATTTTGACAAATTTCAAGATTTTTGAAATGCAATAAATTTATTATAAGATTTTTAACAATTAATTTTAAAAATTTCATCGCCTTCCATTGTAAATTTGCAGCTTAAAACTGCACCGAAAAACTTTATAAAAATAAAAATATTTTTTTCAATAATCTAAGAAAAAAGACAATTTATCATTTTATGCCTTAAGCAGTTTTCAAAAAAAAAATTGCTCAACTATCAATCATAGCTCGCGAATTTCAGGTCTGTCGTGTCGCTTCTACCTTCCAGCAAGATGCAATATATGGCAAAATGAGTTAAGCCATCAAAAAACATCGCATAATAAAAATTATGCACAGCAATTATGTGTGTTTCTCTCTCCTGTTTTTGAAGTGTGTGCCGATTTAATTATAGTATTTTAAAACAATTTTAGAATGTTAGAGAAATAGACAAACAACCAGCAATTTTATGATAATTTCTTGTTCGAAAACTTATTTCATAACATAAATGCGAATTTCGGGATGTTTTACAAAATGCAATTTTTCATAATCGCAAGGTGCATTGTCTTTGCAATCGATTGCATTTAAAACTATTATGTGTGTTTTTTTGTGTGTGACAATAGTTTTGTCACATTTGTATTACAGTGACTGATTCTTTTGGAGTTAAAGAAATTTTATTGTTGACGTTAATTGCTTAATTAGTCGAATTTGTTAAACAAATCTTGAGTTAAGAAGGTGATGTAACTTATTGTTATCTTGATCTATCTTTCCAGAGTTCCTATCATGATTTATAATTTTCATAAACTAGTTGACGGAGTTTCTGTTACTAAATACATCAAAATAAAGAAAAATTCAATCACATTCTGCTTTTTAAACCTGAAAACATTTCATTTAAAAATTCGATAAAACATTTTTGATAATTTTTCATCTTTATTTACTCATCACTATAGTCTTTAGCATTACAATTTTATGTTTTTCTTTTGTTTTGCAATTCAATTCAATTACTCCATCAATATTTAAATGTCCGGATTATTTCCTCATCCATCAAATAACTATAATAGCATTAAGCTATATAGCCAATTTAATTTGAGGATTTTTTAACTATTTCAATCGTGTGAAATTTTCATTCGAAAAAAATTGTATGGAATTTTATCATCTTGAAATTTTTATTTAACCTTAACTTAATCAACTTTCTTTGCCAAGCATTTTTCTTTCATTTCGTGTAAGTTTCTCGATAAAAATTCTTTTACAAACACACAAAAAAATAATTTACAAGATTTCCTTTTTTACGCAACGGGAAACATTTTTTATCTTTATTTACGTGACGAGAGATATAAATATTTTAATATTTTACTTCCAATGAAAACTTTTTTTCGTATAATAAATTACAAATAGTACAAATTCATACCTTAAAATTAGTCATTATTTAAAAAACTTTTTTCATTTTCTTAAGTAAAAAATTGGTTTTGTTGTTGATTTCTTTTTAGTGAAGGGAAATATGCGCGATTTTATTGTAAAAAGTTATGACTACCCATTGCAAAATGATTGATGTAATGGAACTGGTATAAAAGTTCATGATCGGGTATTTTCTTAATTTAACTTAAAATATGAATTTAGTAAAATTTCAAGTTCATAAAATGAACCTCATCTGATCTACTAGCACAAAAACTTAATTTCATCACTACAACCAACGCATTAAGTTCCCTTCTTCACAATAAATACATAATTTAAATATAATAACTTTGCATCGACAAAAAATCTGTCCTCAAATCTAAATACAAAAATGACAGGAAATAAAATAAATATCTACACAAAAATTACGGCAAAACATGATTTCATTCGGCAGTGATCTACAAAATGTTATGAGATTTCTTTCTTTTTTGACTTATTGTTATCGTAGTTAAACTTTTTTTGTCTCACAATTATTATTCTATTGATTTTGTTTGGATAAATTTGGATCAAAGATTGTTATACAGTTGTTTAGTTGTGTATATGTGGCAACATCATTACATCCTATTACTTTGTTATTGTATAAATGGAATTTTCATTTCTTGTATAATCTATCAAAAAAAGGATTTTTAAGTATAGCTCACATCATTGGTCCATTAAGGAAATATAAAATCGGGTAGAAATTCATATTTTTATTGTTTTTTGACTCAGAGTTGATTTGGCTTTGAATTGATCTTCTGGTTTTTAATTTAAAGTTTTTAATGATTGACAGATTCAAAAATTTAACTTTAGGTTCAAAAATTGAACTAAGAATTCAAAACTTGAACTATAAGTTCAAAAATTGAAGTAAAAGTTCAAAAATTGAAGTCAAAGTTCAAAAATTGAGCTCTAAGTTAAAATTAATTCATTTTGTTTTGAAAAACTATGAATATCAACTCTGAATTAAGTTCATGAAAATGAAACAAAAGTTCTTGATCTTGTAATGAATAATTTTCCTTAACTTTAAGCAATGAAAAATTTTAACGCAGTAAGAACAACAATAGAAAATCTTTGAAAATTAAAAAAAAAGAACTTTCAAAAATTTTCTAAAGTTTTCTATTTTTTTTTTAAATTTACGGATTATTTTTGATTTATTTGAAAACTTTTTGTATGAAAGGATTTTTGTTACGTTAACTAACATCTATACATAGAGCATTTTCATGTTTTTTTTTCATTACTTTATTTTAATTTTTGGAACAAATACTTAAATTTTTTTTCATCGTTTTAGAATTGCAAAATCTTTTAAATTTCATCGCAAATGAAGATATTCAAAAGAATTTGCAATTCTCTGACACTTTTAAGCTAAATATGTTATTTTTAAAAATTGATTACAATGGCATCTGTCAGTATCCATTGTCGAAAATTTTAATTCGAGATTCATTCAAAAATTTCTAATAAATTTATTTTCTTCAGATTTATTCTCATAAAAATTGCACGCTATTAAATTTTTCTTCACGAATTTTATCCTATTTTTATTGATAAATGTTTGGTTTTTTTTGGTGAGAAACAGTGATAGGTATGTGTATGTATATGTTATTTCTATGATGCTTGCAGAAAAAAATTGTTTTGATAACGATTTGGTTTCAAATTGTTGAATTGTATTAAAATTGCTTCAGTTTTAGCTTTAAAATGAGCATAAAGGTTCAAAAATTGAACTCTAGGTCCAACATTTGTACTTTATGTTAAAAAAATCGAACTTGAAAGTTTATGAAAAGGAGAAAGCTACTCAAGTATGAAACTAGTTACCAACTACAAGCCTTAATTCATTCAGATCTTAAAAATTCGTCTCCCAAATTCTAACACGAAGCATAGCCGCTTTTAAATATTCTATCTTCATAGCAAAATCATCCTCAACTCCTTAACATTCAACTCTTAAAATTCATCAATTGAAACCTCTTCGTTCTCAATATTTACTCTAACGACTTTTTGTTATTCGAAATTTTCAAAACCCAACAACTTTGAAATGTTTTGAGATTTTTAAATTTTCTACAACCGTTACACTACATCCTGTATGAATCATTCAAAAAGAGTTTTTTACGTGAGCTGAGACAAAAGTTGTTTACTCTAAACGTGCTTTATATGTAGTTTTCCAGACCTCAGCAAGAGTCACAGCCGAATGGAAACGATGGAAAATGCATAATGGCAATGTTACGCGTTGAATTAATGCCCATGTAATGAAGCCATAGAAGTCTCTTTGAACCTGTAATGAGAAGTTGATTAGTATGTAAAGTTGTGTTAGTTCTTATCCAATTTGATAGACTTACCGGATTAGCCATGACTTTTTGAGCCTCAAAAGTGTAAATAGCGAACATCGAAATATTACAAATCAATAAGAATGTTACAATTTGTCGACCAGGCTTTGTTCTATCATGTTCTGGTAAATGTACTCGACGTCTTGAGACATCAGCAATGAAAAGAAGCTGTAAAACTACTTGGAAAATCGCAACAGCTGATGTTATTGTGACAAGAAGATTTTGGTCGTCCTTATGAGCGTTTAATGCCCCGGCAATGACACTGAATACATTGTAGATGAAAAGTCCAAAGGCAGATACTCTCAAGAGAATATCGTTCAAGTTGCTCTGCTCTTCGCATCGGAATTTTAAGCTTTGGACTCTGAAAAATGAAATGCGAACTTCAAAAATTGAACTTTATATTTAAAAAGTGACAAAATCTCACCTAATAAATCCAATGAGTATAGCTAAAATGGCGAATCCCATTAGACCCGCATGACTAGCATCAGCTAAATAATAAGCCAATATCTGGAATTCAATATGACGAACCAGAACAAAGAACAAGATAAAGCAGATGAGTGATCCAACAAGCAACAAAAGTCCAAAGAAGAGTCCCTTCGATGCTCCAACACAATCAACACGTCCAGAACTAGCTTGTGCTAAAGCAACAGCACGACGTGATAACATGACTTCCAATCGATGTTCCAAATCCTCATCAGGTGTATATTTTGGATAGCGTCCAATATGCTTCCACATGACATAAATGACAGCTGCTCCAATCAATGAGTATTCAATAATGAATGGATATAAGTATGGTGTTGAGTCCTGAACAATTGTTCCCATAATATTAACACGTTCGCAGCTTGTTACATTTACATGGAATGGTGGAATTGTTGAGAGTTGACTAAAAGCTTCAGCATGTGGTAAAATGTTTTCGATTGGTGGGAAATTGTAGTCAATATTTGATGTTGGATCTGGTCGTAAGTCTGAAAAGCTCTTGATGTTTTCAGCTACTGATGAGACAACACTGTCTAAAATTCCACTACTTTGTGGCGATGTGACTGTTTCATCATAGAATGCAGCAGGCGTTGTTGCACTTGTGGTAGTTGTGGTATCAAAAATAGCTTCCTTAGCAGCATTATATCCTGCATTAATCGAATTCAAGCTGTCTTGCAAATAATCACGAACAGTTGTTGTAATCTTTTCGGTTGTTGTTGTTGTTGTTGTTGGCGCGAAAGTCGTTGTGCTTGTCGAAGTTACTGTAGATGTAGATGTACTAGATGATGTTGTTGTACTAGCCAATGTTGAAGCAACAGTTGCAATTTTAGCAGTTGTACTTTGAATTAGACGATCCAATAAATGACCATGGGATTCTTCAGCGTGAACTGAAGGAGCACTGAGTGATCGACTTGGTTTGTTGACCCATTCAGCATCCAATGGAGCTATAAAATTATTTTTTAAAACATGTTTGAGACTTATTCGTATAAGATTAAATGCAATAACTTACCAGGTCCAAACTCAACACCCAATGTCTGTCCAGCGTGTAACAATGTATGTTGACGTAAATCTTCAGCAAATTGTGACTTTTCTGGTTCATGAACGCGTTCCAAATAATAGTTTGTGAGTTCCTTCAATGATTCCAAGACTAATGTACGAATCCAGACACAAATGTTTGTGGCTACGACATGCATCAAACCGAATCGTGCCAAGACTTTGAAGCGATGGATGTTTAGCTAAATTTGGTGAATGAAAAGGATTTGAACGTTGATTATTAAGCTATAAGTTTAGGAATCTTACCCTTGAATTCATGAATATGAAGTACATCTGCATGAAAGTAAAGATCATCTGTAAAAGAGGATTGACTCCTCTTAAAATTTCATGACATGGTGAGCCAATTGGAGTCTCAAAGAATGATCCAAATTCTAGTCCAATGTAGATCATCGCACCCAACCCAAAAGCTACAAGAAATTTGCAAAAATTAAATTTCAAAATAATTTTTAAAGATTCATTATAATTACCAATGGCACCAACTCGCAAGAAGAAGCTTCCATGAGCATCTTGTGTAGTTTTGCGTTTTCGTTGTTTTGGTGATAAAGCTGCTTCAGCCTCTGGTTGTGACTCCTTGGATACGAATTAAAAATAAATAAAACAATATTTTTTTCTCAATTAAAAATTTGTCGTCGTTGTTACTGAAAAATCATTAAGTCTTTTTCAAAAGAGCATCCCACAATGTGAGCAAAATAAAATAAGGCTAGCAAAAAATAAAGTTTTATTTTGCGTGCATGATTTCTTGTGGAAATAAAGAATAAAAAAAAGTAAAATATCTACAAAATAATAGTCTGAAGTCTTAAAAATAATATGTTAGTGTGTGATTTATAGGTTTATGTAAGAAAATAGCCGAAGTTTTCAGATTACCGCAGTAAAAAGCATTATGATACGTCTTACCCAACAATAGAGTTCAATTATAAATGTTATAATGTTAGCAATAAGTAAACTACAAAGGATGTTACGATACAATCGAAGAGTTATGGATCGAGCATGTTAAGTCAAGCGATTATGGTTACTAAATATCCAAAAAGGACCAAGATATTACTGTAGCGGATAATGATTATCTTAATGTCAAGCAGGCAGATGGAAAGGATGTTATGAGTCTACATCACAAACAGCACCAGCCTTTAAATTATGATTAGTAAATTTAAATAGATTTTTGACTAGAAATTGATGGAAAATTGATGCTTAAATGAGTTTATATTAAAATTACTATTTAATAGCTCCAAATCCTTTAATTTAAAGTCAAAAACTTCTTCAACTCCTTCATTCCTTTTTAAATTTTAACTCTCACCTGAAATGAATTTCGTTCTCGCACCACATCGCGTTTCTTTTTCGGATACACCTCCTTTACACATTTTTACATACATTTATGTTAATTTTTTTATAAGTTTTTAAAAATTTTGGGATTTAAATTTTAAATTCGCATCATGGATGGGCAATCGAATGTGTGATTTTTGTGGTAATTTTTTATGTTAATTATAAAAATTATATGCAAAAGAAAAAAAATTAAAAAAATAAGTAAAGCTTTATAATTTAATTTTATTTAGGAACTTGAGGGTAGGAATAGGATTGAGGCAAAAGATAAATTGTTCATATCCAAAAAATAAACATCAAAACTAAGGTGGCTGCATAAGTTCAAGGGAGCAAAAAATTAAAAATCGATGAGAAAAAAATAAAAATTCGTTCAACGTGATTTTCTCAACATATAAAAAATAATTGGAAAGAAAAAATTAAGCCACATATAACAGGAAATAATAATCATCAATAAAAAATATGTCGGAGCATAAAAAAGCTAAAATATGAAAAGCTCTTTTTCATCATCAACAGCACAAAAAAAAATGTGAATATGGAATATTAAAAACTCTAAAATAAACCATAAAATACCTGATAAGGTGATGGCTTTCCACTCTTTTCCTTTTCCTTTCCACTTGACTTTCCACTTTCGGCTGGTTTTGCAGCACCTTCAGCTTTCTCATCCGGCTTATCCTTTGAATCGGACTTCTTTGGCTTTTTCTCTTTTTTTGGTTTCTTTTCCTTTGGTGCTTTTGGTTGCTTCGCGCCACTTCCACTACAGCATGTGCTCTCTAAAATGACAATCAAGTGGATTATATGAAAAATCAAGTCTCACAATTCATAGTAAATTGAATGAAATAACTGATCACTTGTGTGACTCATAAAAATATTTGAATAGCCTATTCTGCTTGAGTATTCAAGTCCTTTATGCAGATCAATAATCCTTTTCAGTAAAACTTGTCATTTTATTATGACTGAGTAAATTTCAATGACTGTACTTGAGAGTTGAGTATGTTAGGTTCAATATTGGTGGAATATTCATTTAAGAGGTCAGTTCTGCAGCTTATGTATGCATGCATTTAAAACATTTGACTGACAAGTTCATTTATTTAATTCATAGAAAAGTGTTTGAATGCCGGGTGAACTTATAATGAATTTAAAGCATCTTTTAACTTTGCGACAAACCAGAAGAAGAGGCAATCAAAAATCATGTCATTAAAGAACTAGAGCAGAAGTCATCCAAAAAGACCAGAAAATCTACTTAATTAAATTAATATATTTCCAATTATTCATGCCAGAGGTGCAACATAAATAAATAAAATAATTCGGAAATGCCTCAATACTTTCAAGTATCATTTAACACCATAAATCTTGAAAAAATTCATGAGAAAGTTCCTTTTCCAGACAGTCGCAATAATTATAAAGTTTTTGCAAAAATATTTATCATAATTAGCATAATGCAAGTTAATTGCATCTTCATTCTATAAAATTGTAAAAAAATAAACTTTTTCATAATAAAAATGCAGCATCATCATTATTAGGATAATGAAAAAGTTGCTATTTTTTCCATTTACATTTGGATGTTGTTATGGGAAAATTGTCAGAATTTAAATAAAGAAGCAGGTGTGGAGCCAGAAAAAAAATAAAAGATAGGATTTTAAATAATTCTGGGGTCTGCATTTATAAATCTCCATTTCGATGAGGATGAATGGGAACTGAGGTCCTTAAATCTCCCTAAATAAGCTCTTATCAGTGACTATTTCCCATTCAAACAGAAAACTCAAGCATTTCTCAGAGCATCAATCAAAAATTCTGACTACAATCCCCACAAGAGATCAATAATAAAAATAACAACCATAAATTACCTTGCAACAAGAAGCAGAATACATAAAGAAGGAAAAGGATGCTCGCTCCATACAAATATGTAAAGAATCCTTCATAATACATAATGGGAAGTTGATGTGTCGTAACATCGCTGATGACGTATGATATACAAATGACAATGAGTAGTAATGCATATACTAAACTCGATACGATGAATAGTGATGTTCTGTTGTGAATGAAAGAAAAAGTAAGAAGAAAAAAAATTTAAAAAAGGGAAAAACTTTATAGCAATAAGAATCGAGTGCAATTTTGTGAAATGTGCTTGTTATGTAATGGAATTACTTTTGTTCTTATGTGTTAGTGTAAAGTGATAGGAAAATTATTTAAAAATCAAGTGACAAAAACACAAGCTAGTGTGCAACTGTGGTTAATGAATTTTTTATGATAATGACGATTTTATTCACATATGTTGCGCAAAATCTATTTTTAACAGCAACTTTAGTTGTCGGTAGCATGTTAAAAAGCCAACAAACTGTTAAGTTTTATAACAAAAAATTAAAATTTTATTTTTAAAAAGAAAAGTTCAGAACTTAATTTTTGAAAACTTAAATTCACAATAAAAAAGCCACACACAAAACAACAACAACAACCTTTCAAGAGGCTTCGGCATAACACTTTTAATATCCATTTCTTTCAACGCCGCAATCTTTTCAGCTTCGGAACTCTGATGGGAACGTGACGATGCTGGTAATGTGGCCATGTTATCACCGCTTTCAACGTCTACGGTTGCCACTTTCATTTCTTTATCACCACCCATCGGCTCGTTAAAGTTCCAGCTAAAGTTTTCAAATCGTTGCTTGCGTATTGTAACGAATTTTCAGATCACCACCACAACACAAATGTCGTTTTAATATGTTTGAGCGTTTTTATAGACTTTAGCTATTTTTTGAGAGTTTTTAACTTTATCACAATTGTTTAATTTCTAAAGTTTAAAATTGAAGAATAATAAATATGAGGATTAAAGCTTTGAGACTTTATAAATTGCTCTGAGTTTTTTTTATCGAAATATTTATGAATGAACGGATACAACAACTTCCTTATTTGTGGAATGAACAAAAAATCTTAAAATTTTTAAAAGTGCACACCTGTTCAAGCTCACTCCTCCTCCTATGAGGGGGATCAATTCAAAAAAAAAATCCACTATAATTTATGCAAGAACTTTTGCGTGTGTCATGTTGATAAATTTTTATAATTCATGTAATTTCCCTTCCATCATTTTGTCTGATATATGCTGCATACTTGCATGAACCTTGTTATTAAATTGATGTAATTACACTTTTATGTGATAGTTATTGTACTTTTATATGCAATTACTATTCTGCCTTGCTCATTTGTAAGTCCCTTGGGGGGATTTGTGGTAGATTTAGGTCAGAATTTGGATCAGAATTTTTTTTGCAGATTTTGTTTTGAGGTTTTAGAAGAGATTTTTGGTGTCTTTGAAGTATATTAACAGGGTGAATCTGGAATCTATATTGCAAAAAGAATTGAGATTTTTGACCAAAAAAAATAATTCATCTGCAGATTTTAACAAACCAAACTGAATCATATCCAGAATAAAAGAAAACATCAAAAGGAAAATTTCACGATAAGCATAAAGTTTAATCAAGTTTCATGCATTATTCAGCATGTTTTTCTTCCATTGTTTGAATTTTTTAAGACTCTCTTATGCAAAATGAAAGTGATAAAAGGTTAAATAGATTTGAATATACAATTTAGGTCCTTGTGATGATTGTGTACTTTTGTTCCTTATAAGTAGTTAAGGTCTTCCTTAAAATGTCGAACATAGGATTATGTCCATATTTTACGTTTGACAAGCAAGCTTCAGATAAGAGTGCTTAAATCGTCAATTTTAGAGCAGAATAGAAACAAGCAGAAGTTACTGACCTTTCTATATCTCCTATCGATTGAAAATCATAAGCAACTTCGAAAACAGTCACCCAATTCCCGCTTAGAAACAACACAACATCTCCTATAAAGGTAGCACATAAAAATCAACGAAAAAAAGCCATAAATATCAATTTTGACTCCTTGATAGCGACAGTAACAGCAGCAGCATCCGTACACAAAGTATGTAAATATTCGTAGTGAGAGCTGAACTCATTTTCACATCCATTGTTTCTCATATCATGCTCCTTATTCTCTTACTCTCCGCTCTAAGGATAGATGAGAATTGGAAATACAGAAAAAATATTATTTTTGGATGTTGCGCAAGCGAAGATATTTTCATTTTGCCTTTTTTGGTGCTTGCTTTCTCCACCACAGCCGCTTCTCATAATTTTTCTTTCTTTTTTTCTAATAACTTCTGGGGTGGGGCACGAGAAGCAATTTTTTTCTTCTTATTAACTTCCAAGAATGTAATTTGTTCTTGTAGCTACTGAAGTTTATTGGTAAGCAAGGCAATATGGAAAAGGCCTTGGCGTGAACGATGACCTCATAACCTTCTAGTTAATTTTCTTCTTGATTTGATTGAAGTCATGAAAAATTGTTTTATGCTTTTGACAATTTAATGGAATATTTGTGGGAGCTCATAAGGGAATTGAGTTTATTTTTGGTCCATTGCAGTGAAAATGTTGAGTTGTAAAATACTCGATTTGATGGAAGTGAATTTTGTTTACTCAAGGGCACCATGTGATATGGTTTTACTATGAAGGCTTAAAGTTTTATAATATTTTCAATTTTGTTTAAATCTGTCTTTTGGGAATATTGTTCTGGGGTAGATTTAACTAGAAAAATTCAATTTATTACAAGGAACTAAGAGTAAATTTCATAAACAGTTTTCTGGAGGATTGTAAGCGTTAGTAGGTCGGAACTTAGTTTGTAAATCAAAATTAATTTGATCGTGAATTAAAAAAAGAAGTTTGAAGATAATTTGGAAGTTTCCTTCAATCTAGTCTTTATGTACGCGACAGATAGGGCCATGGGTTTATTCATAAGCTTATCATGACACTGCTAAGCATGCTTTTTATCTATTTGTACTAGATGAAATGGATCAAAGAGGACGAAGAACTATCAAGGACCATAGACATCAACTGTGTATTATATCATCATGTTCCTTATATCAAGTGAAGCTTTTGAACCTCTTCTAGCTTATGGTCTTTAATGTTCTCTGTATTTCTAGACTGACTCCAATGTTTAATCAAACTAAATACCTTCGAATTATATTTCATTAAATTTAGATAATTTTTTAAAGTCAGTCACCCTCAAAAGTACAGGTTCATATTAAGATGAACTCTAAGTTCCATCTGAAACGACCCCCAAGAAAACATTTTTTTAAATTCCATTCTTAATTGAAATGTTTTTGGGGTTTTTTTTTCATGATGAGGAATTTTTCATCTTTTTAACATTCACAGAGCATGATGAGCACAGAGCATCTTTTCATATGCAAAAAAATTGTTTCATAACAAGGAGGGATTTTCATCACATAAAATTGCATTCATGAAGAATGAAAAACGGTGGAAGAAGAAGTTTGTTTGTTTAAATTTTCAACTAGAACAAATTCACTTTGTAGTAGAAAATTTTCCTCCTTTGTGCAGCTACACATGAAAAGTTTTTCTAATGCTCGTGATGAATATTTTACTCATGCGATGCATGAACATCCCCACATAAGAGGGGACAGAAGTTGTTGTATGTTTTCATTCATTTCAAACTCAATTTAACTTTGACAGAAATTTAATCCTTTACGCACAAATATGAGCAAATTCTTTAATGACTTTAAATTTGTTTTTCTCATTCACAGTGGACGGATGCTTTTTTGTGAGCAATTTTGGTTTCTTTTATTGCTGTTGGAAATTTTTCTTAATCACTTTTCACATTTTGTGAGATTTTCTGTGCGTCTTTTGACACTTTATTGTCTAAATTGCTAAGTTTTGTTCAATTTTTCTGTAAATTTTAACAAATTTTCTATCAACTATCCACAAACTTTGAAGAAACTTTTCGAATTTTTCCTAAAAATTCCTCAAATTCCTGTTTTAAAAAATTGAGGAAAATTTTCTCTCAGGAAAAAATTCACGAATTTCAATTCACCGCCAACAAATCTGAACCAACACAAATCGTCGAAGTTTCCTCACGAACTGAGGAACTGAGCTCTAAAACTCTTCCCTATTCTGATAATACTCACAGAGGAAAAAATATAAAAAAAAATTCTCAAGTCACGCAAGTGAAAAAAGAGAGCGACTTTTGATGTGCTGCAAAAAAGGACAAAGTCGATTTTGATTCTCTCAGATGTTGGTCTCTCCGAGCGACAACAGCATCCCGTAGATGAATATTGCATTTGTCGGAAAGAAACGACACATCTACGCATCCGAATGCTCTCGTTTTTAAATAAGGGAAATTTTTTATGTCTTTGTATGAGTGTTATGGATATGAATGTGTTGGTGAGAGACAAAAACAATTCGTGCAGTGCAGCAGCAACAGCAAGAAACAGTTTTCCCTATTTTTCATATAGTCACAATATCTAGAGGGTGATATTTAATCAAAATGCTGCCAAATGAAATTTTCTACAACTTTTTTTTTTGCAAAGTGAATAAAAAATATTGTTTAATGGGGGGGGAAGTGAGGGTAGATTATCATGTTCACACCGTATTAAAAGTGACAATGACAACATTTTCAGTCACGATATAATTTATTTGAGCTTGATACAATCGTCTTTTGCTTTAAATCAAATGATTCATTTATTGTCTTCAGAAATTTGAAATCGACGCTTCAAAGTTCATTCAAACTAAATCGATGCTTTAAATTCGATATTAAATAACTCAACGCTTCAAATTTGACTCTCTCTAAGTCGACGATTTATAATTAACTCAAATAAGTCAACACTTTAAACTTGAAATCATCACTACTTATTAAATTAGATTAAGTTTAATCAATTTAATTCCAAAATTTCCACCAAACACGGTGTGACTAAAAAGAAAATCCGTACAAACACACACACGCATTTTCCTCACACATACACACAAATAAGTGTAAAATTTTATTGATCGAAATATCATTTTATACTTCCCACTATAATCGTAAATTTACGCGAGCTAGCAATTGAATGAGGGGTGAGAATGGAAGATGAATGAAACATTTATCACAGCAAAAATAAAGAATACAGTTGCGAGATGTTGTAAACATCTGATTTGAGCGTTCATTACAGATTACTTACGTCGCTATTTACGATGTTTATTTAGTGATTTATAATTCACGGCAGGTAAAAAGCAGAGAATTTTTGTTTTGCGTTGTAATAAATTTGGCATGCGAGTAATTTTGTGATTTATTGACAGTGGGGATTTTTTTTTGAAGATCTTAATTTTTGATGCTTGATTTTTTTTTTGTGGGTGAATTTTTTGAGAAAGAGTTGAAAATTTTTTACGTAAAAAAGTTTTCAAATCAAACTTTTAAGACGATGATAAAAATTTTAATCCAAAAACTTTTTCATTAATTAAAGTCAATATTTTCCAGTTTAAAAATAACTTTCTGTTGACATTTTGTGGCTTGTAATTTTTCAAACTGACTGTCTCACCCCAGTTGTTCAATTTTCAATTCACAGCTTCATGGACATTTAAAATATCCTGCATCCTATAAATCTTGTTAATTATTTGCCCTCTCAACTCTCAATTTTATGTTCAAAAACCACATCTGTAGTTTACTTTTTAGTTTATCGCAACCATTTTTCTACTCGAATTATCAAAAAGTAATTGTCGTTCATTAGAATAAATTTTTAATTAACAGTAATCCGTAAGATGTTTATTTTGCTACTTGAAAAATCACTGATGCTGCTGGTAATGAGCTAATTTTATAGAGAATTTTATAAGTTTATTCGCCTAAAACGTCTGCAACCAGTCGACCATAAAAACAACCCCTTAAACAATTCTTGAATGTTTTATAATGTGCATTGCTTGAATTTGAAATGTTTACGAGTATTTCGGTTCCATTTAAGATTTTTCTTTTTTTTTTCAATTTTAAATGTGAAAAATTGCCAAGCAACGTGAGAAGTTTAAGGATGGCAATGTTTTCATACAGCAGCAATAAAATCTTTTAAAAATTCATATATGCGAGGTTTTTTTGAAACTGAGAAATCATGGAAACTAACAACAGGAGTAGGAAGGAAGAAACAACGACGCTTTGCAATGGGGTGCAAATATTTCTCGAATATAAATTTCATGGGTAATCATATGCTATAATATTTTTATGTTGTTTTGCAGGGGTGGTCGAAGTCTACTCGTAGATTGATTGTTTATTGTTAAGGGTGTTTTTGAGGTAGCTGTGTTTGGATTTTTTGACACCAGAGCAGTCTTTCTAGGAGATTATCTTAACAGTTTAAAATTAATTAGATGAACTTTATAAATATCCACTCTGATCCTAGGCTTCAATAAAGCTACCGTGGCAACCATTAAAACCTATCTAAGCTATGAAATCTAAGCCATCATAATCTGCTGATCCTTGGCTATACTACTAGTTACGAGTCAACACTACATAGTATGTCGGGGATCAAACCTCAAAGTTTCAGCAGCCCTGCAATTTCATAGCCAAACTCCCTACGAACAGCATCAAATTCTCCGACAAACCATCGCAAAAATGCTATTGTGTTAAGGCTTTGTTAAGTTTAAATAATACAAAGTACAACTTCCATAGATTCTCGTTCATATATTCCAATATATCCGTATCATAGGAACGAACATAAGAGCACAAGAGAAACGAAAGAATTATTTAATGGAAATTTTATGTGCTGTATTTAAGAAGGACATAAAAAAATTATGATCATTAAGTTATAAAAAAAAGGAGAAATACGAGGAATTTTGACAAAAACGGAACTCAACCGTAACGCCTCGGGATATAATGCGAAAATAAATGATTTGTCAATGCAAATAAAATGTGATAAGAGGGACGAATGTTTGAGTTAAAATAATTATTAGAAGGCACAGTCTGTGACCGATTTTATGTTATTTAATATCCGAGAATTTTTTTCTGGGTGTGAGAATTTTTTTGCTATTCTTCTTTGACTTTATGTCTGGTTTAGATATTTATTTAGATTTTTGTAGGATTATTTTTTCTATTTTAATGTTAGTAGATATTGAAATTATTATTGAGGGATTTTTGGGATTTAATTTGAGGAAGTAAGAGGATTAAAATTGGATTAAAGTTATTAAATGGTGATAAATATTTGATTAATGAGTTAAGAAAGTGAATTTTGAGTTTGGTTTTTGAATATTCTTTAGTTTTGACTCCTCAGAGCTACTGCAACCTCATTGAAGACTCTCCAAATTCTCAAAGACTCGTTAGAGCCTGTACAAAAATATTAATTCCAAAATAAATCCTCAACGAATTCACATCTTATTCTTCATCTAAAATTGAACTATTTTTCTGTTGCCAACTATAAACATTGCTCCATTAACTTCATAAATAAATAAATCACTTCATATAAAATAGAGTCATGAGACTCTTTACTCTCCTATGATTATTTACATCTCTAATGATGTTCAAGATTTCATGTCGATTTTGGGATTAAAAGTAAAAGGGAAAACAAAAATATCAAATATCTCAGTCATTTAATATCTGTTAATGCTTTTCACAAACAATTGTCTCATTTCACATTTGCCAGAGTGGTGCCTGATGGCAGTTTTATTGATATTTTCATTCATTATTATCTTTTATTATTCGGGACTGTTGCTTTTTATGCTCGAAATGGTTAATTATTTGCCGGCAACAGCACATTTTTGTCATTATGTTTTGGACATTATTGAAATTGGAAAAAACTCATGTTGGTTTTGGGATTTTTTCATTTATAAAGGCATGGATATATTTTTGTTATGACTTTTGGTTCCCATGGTGGTTGTTGTGAGATAAATTTGAAATTTATGTAAGGGAGATGATCGAGATTAAATTTTGGAACTGGTTTTAATAGGGATTATTACGAATGTATGATTAATAGTTGTTATTTCTTAAATTATAACGTGCTGACTATTTGTTAGAATTGCTGATAAAATTGGAGAAATTTTAGTAGGTTTGTAATTTAAAATTTAAATGCTTTCAAGACAATTTTCAAGGAGTATTAAGCTTGAGTTTGGCTGAAAATTCATTAAAGACAACATTAATATCTCATAATTTAATGCGTCAAGCTTCCCCTTTGTATTTGCTTACAAAATTACCTCGAACCCCTTCAGTTTTACGTCTAAATTTAATTTTTCATGAGCCTACAAACATACGTTCCATAAATACCCAAAAACTCTAGTAAAATCTCTCCAAATACCGTTAATATAAGTGCTCTATGTATGTACAAAACGTGTAAATGTGTCAACTTTAATTTTCTCTACTTGTGTGCTGTAATGTTATTATTGTGATGGATATACAATAGAAAATTAAAAATTCCTTAAGGCTATAAACAGACTTTCATACTGAATTAATCCTAAACATCAACCTAGATTTTATTACGAAATGAAAGTTCAAGAATCATGACTTGAATCTCATTCCTTAATTAGTTATGGAATCTGCTAACCTTTTCCTTTTCAACTCATAATACTCATAGTATCCATTGCCAGAGCTTCTTATACCTCTGTAATATAAAATAGAAATTTTTTGATTCGTGTCATTAAAATTTTGAAAAAATTAGTTTTGCCAATTATATAAAGTGGTTGAGAATGATAAAGTTTGGCTGGCAAGAAAGTAGATTAAATAGCCAACCAATCCATGCAAATAGATCACCATCACCTTCCCAATCTCCTAGAAGAGTTAAATACCAAAAACGACCAATATTTGCGAAACAAATTAAACTTGGGAATCACGTTCAGAATATTGCAGTGGATTTCTATGTCAGCACATTCCCATTTTCAATAGCAAATACGAATTTAGGTCATGCTAAGTGAATGGATTAAAGAAAAAAAAATCTTCAGTTCCAAATTTTCCCCTATCGTCCTTAATGTAATCTACGTCTTATTTTTTCCACCCTCAAATAAGATGATTTTCTACTTCCAACATGAAGTTTTATGGAATCCTAATGATGGAAAATGACACAAATAGCAGGAAAAAAGGTCGTCCCATTTTGGACGATTGAGAATGACCTCTCATCACCTCCTACTTAGCCAAAAAAAATCTAATTTATGTTAGTCAAAATCTCAACATTGAGGATGATATGTGGCAACAATTCCTGGTTAAAATGAACGATTATCGATGTATACATGTGACATGTTTTTTTGTTGTATTAAGAAATTAAAATGAATTTAATGAAATCAACTTGTACATTTTAAAATCGTACTTACTTTGCATTCTTTGGTTTCTTTGGGTCCAATGGTCTCATACATTCTGATTCTTCACATTCAATGCTAAAATCTTCACCCAGATCACGAGGCACGAGGGGTGTTCGGTGATGTGTTGGGCTTATGTGATATCCATCTGAATTAAACTGTCAGATTACAGTTGTGAGGTTAAAATAGTAAGTTTGGAAGAAAGATTAAGATTTATTAGATTTCTTGTGATATTTTAAAATTCTTTTTTGCTTTTTCTGTGCGCTAAAGTCCAAATGATTACTGAAATTGAAAGCTTATTCCTTATGGATAAAGTTCAAACTGCATGATTTTTGAAAGATAATGAACCTGACAACCAGCCTTTGAACTAAATCAAAAACATCCTTAGCCTCAATTTCAGCATACATTTGCAATCTAAAGGCGACATTTTCATGTTAAAGGAACATTAAAATTAGGAAAAATTTATTTTATGAATTCTTTAATGGAATAACCGGGTCCAAAGTTCACGAACAAGGATGTATTATATTTATCAAGCAAATGTCAAGCTAAAAACGGTCTAGGTTTATATTAAAGTTAAAAAATTAGCAATGAGAATGTAAAATGCAAAATATATGGAAAATATGACTGTTTAGTCAAAATTAACTCGAAATTATTAACTGTATGATTATGTGTATTCTTGGTATGTGTATCAAATGTTTTTTAAACAATATCAGGAATTGGTAAACCTATAAAAATAATTTAATTGAATTTCTGGAAGTGGGGAAAAAAGTTGAAATAAATTTAAGTTATTTAAGTTAAAAATTAAAAGATCAGAGGTAAGTGTGGTATTTAAAACAGACTTACAACATAAACTCAACTTGATTCAATAGTTCTCTTAAGAATTTTTGAGATAACCTTTGTTGGGTTATCTATAAATATAAAATTTAATAACCTTTAATAACCACAAGAACCACACAATGCGGTTTCAAAAGTACCCATTTATGGTTAATCATTAAATGTTGGTCAAATTCAAATTGATTGAATCCAACAAATTATTTCTCAAAAATTAAACAATTTTTCCTAATTTTAATTAAATCATACATTCGAAAACTTAATCATATTAATTATTTTTGTGATAAAATGTGTGATACCCTAAAGACACAAAAATAATCGAATTAAATAATTTTTGTGTCCGTTCGGATATATCTGATATATTTTATGTATCATATGAATAAAACTGGTGTGTGAAGGTAAAGGAATGAAGCTCGTTATAACTTTGCTAAATTAATAAATAAATTAAAGAAACATGTTTTCAACAATAAAATCTGGAAGTAAAATTAGGTTAAGATGTTTTAATTGTCATTCATAATTTTGACAAAAGCACAATAAGCTAAATTTAGAGGAAACGAAAAAAAACAAGATTTTTTTAAAATTAAAACATTAACAATAAAATAGTAGATTTATAGAACTTGCTTGAATGATTTTTTAACAAAACCTTAAAGAAGCATTTAAAAATAAAATAAAAACCACTTGAAGAAATTAATTCAAAGGCAAACTTAACCTTTAACTTGTCAAAACGTTCCCACGTGAATCATTCAAATAACACAAAATCTTAAACCAATCTCAAAAACATAATTTTTATGATCTCATTTATTATTTGCTAATTCCCAATTTTCAGACTCAATAGCCACTCGAATCAATCAATCAAAATGTTCAATTTTACAGCTCAATTACTTGTATTTTTATTTTTTATTTCTGTTTTCTTTTTTTTTTGTTCTAATCTTATCAAAATAATATCAAAAAAAGCAGTCTTAAAAGATCTATTTAAGGCCTGATTGGAATGCCAGAAACGCTACTAATAAAATCGAGAAAACTTGTAAGTCGTGTGCCTCTGAACCACCAACGTGTTGCTGATCCTGTGCTTCCTTCTGTCAATGCAATTAATGTTGGAACTCCACCTTCTGTTATCACCCAGGGACCTTTAATTAATTTTATTATATAGTAAAATTGACGAAATTGAATTTTTTTTTGGGGGGGGGGGGGGGGATAGTTTTATGAGAATTTGCATTTTATGGAGGATAATTGACCTATATATTATTAATACATATGTGGTCAGTAGAGAAGGGGATTGATTGGTACATATGCTTAATAATTGAATTTATTTGTATTGACATGCTCAGTCTTAAAGATCAGTCTCAAAAAAATTACCTCCACTATCACCACCCCTTGTCTCAACATGCCATCCATCAAGTGGTTCTGAGCACATGTGAGTTGGGCGTCTGTTTGACCAACAATTGGTCTCGATTCTAAATCCTGCCCATTGTAATATTTGTGCCATTTCACCATTTGCAATTCTTCCTAAATACATTTAAAATTAAATTTTTTGAAAACTTATTTTAAGAGTTTTCAAACTTGCCCCATCCAATAATTTGAATTGGATATCCTGCAAACTCATAGCCCTGTTGTGTTCTTGATGGAAGTCTAATAGATCCAATTCGACTATTAAATGGGAATGGTTCACTCATTTCACATACAGCTAAGTCTGGATTCCAGCCATCAATTGCTGGTGCAAACCAGAAACGTTCACTGAATCTACTGACAATATCACTACTAAGTCGATCAGCAGCTCCAACAACAGCCATGACACGATAAGTTAAGACAGGATCAAAGCAATGGCGAACGGTAAGCATGAATGTCGAAGAGATAATTACACCACTGCACACAAAAGTGTCACCAGTTGTATCAAAAATTGTGACACGAATTGCGTATGGGAACTGTCCATCAGTGGCATTTTGACCATTTGATATTCTTGGTTCCCTTTGCTTTTCGACAATCAACGAATTTTGATAATTGCTGAAAAACTCTTCTGGATTTTCAGGCACACTGAGTTCTTTTGTAAAAATATCACTGGATTCATACTGAACTGCTGACGCGACAGCAAACAGTGCCAAAAATAATACCGATTTCATTTCCACTTGTTAACTGCACAATTAACCAACAGCAAATACTGAAATATTTCATAGACGAACGGTATTTTATACCCCATGTTATGGCTGATAAAAATTGTTGGAACTTTTATTGAAAATCATGGATCGAAGTGGTTTTTGGTCTTATCGAAATAAATTTTGATAAGAAGCCAGAGTTATCAAAATAATTAATGCTATTTATAGGAATAATTAAAGTCAGACTGAATTCCCTGCAAAGTTCTATAAATCTTATTTTTTCGGTTCTTTTAAATGGAATTAAAAACTCAAAATTAAATTGTTACTTGCTTTAGTCAAACGCGGTGGATCGAAGAGCATTTTTGTGTTAAATTGATGTCTATAATCCTGATAAGCTAGTGCTTTCTTTTGTATAAAAACAGTAAGAATAAAAAACATTTTTCAATTTAGTAGTCATCTGGATGATAAGGATGTCAAGTAGAAGTATATCATAAATTGAAGAGCACTCCAGTAGTTTAATCATATGATAAGCTACTCAGCCAGATACTCAAACACATCATTATTTATTTGTATCTTAATTGAATTACGAATGGGGTTTCCATCAGCACACTATTTATGCCCAAAAATGCTCTTCACAAGAAAAAAGGATAAGTTAGAAAAAGATGGTCAATAACAAACACTGACAATGAGGAAAGTTAGAGATGTAAAAAAAATGCGGCATTTAAAAAGAAAGAAAATTAAAGAAAAATTACTTGAACGACTTGAACCATCTCCGGCATGTCGAACGAGCTCACCCTTACCTTTACCACAGTGCCAACAGTGCCAACCTGATTGCTTCCCGGTCGACTTGTGTGTTCGAGTAAATTGTCGCGTTCGTTAAATGACTCCATTGGCATTGAATCTGTTCCGCGTTGTATAAGTAAACGTTCCTTCATTTCGTGTATATAAGGACAACGTTGCATGTGATGATAACTCAATGTTTGATGAATTTATGGCCACCTGTGGAATAAAAGGGTTGAATTAGTGAACTTGGTTGATTATAATTGCAAACATGAAAATCAATAAGAAGATTTATGTTGATTGAAGTGATTAGATTGCTTTCAGATGACTAAATGATCTAGTTTATAAAAAAAATCCATATTTGATGGACATCATTTATCAATGACCCCTAACAGGCCTTTAAACACCAATTTTCCCACAGTAAAAATCATTAATTTCCATTATTTATTCCTCGTAAATCAATACACTTATTGATATGTATATATGTAAATCTATCCGCCTTACAAATAAACAAACAAGATTTAAATCGTTCCTTTTAGCACATCAACATTATTAATCGATCTCTCTAATGTTGATCTTTTAAGATAAAATAAGGGCAACATTTTGTTCGACACACATTTCATAAAGAAAATGTTTAACAGATAAACAAACTCACACGAGTAGTTCAGAAGTAAAAAAAAAGTTTTTCACTCACAAGCAATTGCAATAAAATAAGCGATGAAAAGATCAGTTGGCATTCACATATGTTTCAGACTTTAGAAAAAAAAATAATGCTCTCAAATAATTTCAATTCCGCACGTACATGATAATGTAAATACTATAGGTTCGGCATTATATTAAGTTTCTTTCTATTGATTCTCAGTTGTATAACATCGAATGATTGACTTTGCCTGTATGTGGATAGCCGAGAGAGCAAATCCATTGTTAACATAATATTGTCATTAAGATTGAATCTGAATTGTTAACTGTTGTAGCATTTCTGATTGTTTAGCAATTGTTTTGGTGATCATTGATGTTAATTGTGTTAAGGGGGGAGCATTTTAGGAACCAGATAATGTGATGATCACATTGAGTAAACCTTGTATTTAAAAATTGATGCTTGATCATGACTTGAAGCGATGCTTTGTTTTCTTTGTTGTAAATTAAAGCGTCCCTTTATTTTATCGAGCTCCAACTAAAGCGTTGCTTTATATTATTGAGTTCAAACTAAAGCGTTGCTTTATGTAATCAAGTTCAAACAAGAGCATTGCTTTATATTTTTGATATTTTCTAAGTTATCCCAACTTACTCAGTCGATAATAACAAACCCATTATTTTGATCTTGAAACTGCAAACAGTTTCTAGTAAATTAGCTATTCAATTATTACTCTAATGATAATTAAGACACATCCAATCGGATATCAGCAACAAAGTGTGACAAATTGCTTCACACAATTTTAAGACTTTGCCTTTTTTTCTGTGCAACTCGAGATTTTTGTCAAGGTTAATCATCACATTCGGCATGGAGAATTGCTAGTTTGTATATTTATTTATTTCTCTCAATTTCTCATTCTTTAAATACACAAAAAAAATCAACTTAAGTGCTGATTGACATCGAAGACAGTTTAATGTATGCCGCAGGCCTAATTTAATTTTTATTCTGTTTTCTTCCCTTAACAAAAATAAACAGATCTTTCTGAAAAAATAAACAGACACTGATATCGCCCTCATATCAAGATCAAAAGTGATTTTTTTTGTATATGTTTGTCAATGATTATTTAATGCGACAAAGAAGATCAAACTATTATGGATTTATGTGTTTAAATGAATTTATTTTAATTTTTTGTCAGCTAAGAAAATTTATAAATCTACGTCCGGCTATAAAAAATTTATTATATACAGTTTAGTATTTGATTTTAATTGATATGATTTTTTAAAAGCTTCAATTTAACTTTAACTTCAAAATCTAAACATAATTTATTCGTAAATGTCTTACATGAGTTTTCAAAAATCTTCATATTATTTCAAACATTTGTAAATTGTTTTCGCTTGAATGGAACTGTGTCACTTTTATTATTTAAAACTGTCATAAGCAATATGCATACACGAATCATGATAAATGTAAAGAAGATAATTTTTCAATTTAGCTTTTCACAATAGTCGCATTTTGCCAAATTTTTCTTTCATTTCATATTCTTATGAAGTTATTTTATGGAACATTAAAGGAATATTTTTTTTTCGCTGTTTTGAGAGTTCTGAGTATAATGTTCTTTATGTTGTGTCAGAAAATTTTGATTTAAAATATAAATGGAATTTTTTAATGACTTTTAGTCATGTTTTAAATTTTCTTAAAGATTTTTCAGAATAAAAATTGAATGTTAATGTTGTTTTCATGACGATTTGCACATTTTAATCCGTGCAAATAATCTCCAATAAATTCACACCAATCAAGATCGAAACTAATAACACACCAGATCAACATTTCACAATTTAATATCGCAAATAAACTGACAATGTCAACAGTAAGCAAAATCTCATAATCACTAGCTATATTTATCATCTACATATCAATCGAGAATCATCAACATTGTAATTTATCATCATTATTAATATTGAATGGTGCGAATTCATTGCAATTAATTAAGTTTTGCCAGCAATTTTGTTGCATTATTAAATTGATTTTGGATTTTAAATAGATTTTTAATTGATGAGAATGAGCGGATATTAAGTTTTGAAGATTACAGTAGATTTGAAAAAAACTCAAAAAATTCACAGATAAATAATCTCGACCCCCCCCCCCACTCCCCTTATTAACCTTAATGATCACTTGTTGCAACATTTTTTAATTTAATTCATTTTAAACATTTATTTGTATCAAATTTAAATTAACTTATTTTTGTGTGTCAAATGGTTTGTACAGTTGGAATGTTCAAAAAAGTAATTTATAGTCAATAGGGTCAAAGCACGATGTTTAATGGAATGAATTTGAGTGCACGCATTTTAAAGTTTACTAGTCTGTCAATGAAATATAGTAAATGTTAAAACCAGCAATTGGTCTTATGTTTTATTAGAATTTTCTTGATTGAAGAAAATTCATTGCATTTGGATTTTGAACACTCCTCCATACTTTACTTATTAAAAACTATACATGTAGACACAAATATATTCGCAAATGTATCAAAAATTCTACGTTTTATTTTTCTTGTTAATTTGCCAAAAAATCTGCGAAAGGAAAACAATCAAAATCGAATCAAAATCAACATTCAATGACTATTCTCAGTAGCCGTAAAGTCATAAAATTAACTGATCATGTTCATTAATTAAAACGAACCACTTGTTCCTGCACAAGAAATAAAAAAAGTTGTAGCACAAACAAACAAGCAAACCTACACGAAAAAAAATGTAATTATATCCTCTGACTTTATTGCAGATCTGATGAAAATAATTTATTGTCGAACTTTTTATTTACTTTCGTTCAAAAAATATTTTAAAATGTTTTTTTTATCTTTCCCGCACACACCGTCCCGATTCCGATGTTTTCGATTCAAAATTAGAACAACTACTGACATCATAATAATATATATTTTTTTCAGATCATAGTACATAGAGGCTGAGAAGAAAAACAGCAAAAAAAAGCTGCGAACAAGAAGATGATGATGTGAAGCATTGAACAATGTAGCACCAATTGCTTCAAGCCTGGTTGCATAAAATGAAAAAATTCTCCTCATTTTTTTTTCCTGACATAAGATGTGCAAGAAATGTGACTGCAATTTCCACTTTTATTCCCGAAGGACAATTTAGTGCAGTGAGAGAAACATTGTCATTGAGACATGCTGACTAAGTATGAAAAAAATTAAATTCCTAGAAAAAAGAAATAAATTTTTTAAAAATAGAATAGAAAATCATTTTTCAGACATCTGCAAATTTTCCCGCATTTTGTAACAGCGGAAATTTTTATGTTTTCCGTGTTTTTACTCTACTATTGTCGATTCTCTCGTGTGCTCTTTCTCTTTTCAATTCAAGTTTGTGTTTATAAATTGGAAAATAAGAAGAAGTGAGAAGAATTTGATTTTGTTTTGGAATTTAGGAATGGAAAGTGGGGGGATTGTATGCAGTTGAAGAGTAATTCTTATTTTATGAGAGTTCAGCTTTAATTTCAATTGCAGCTCTTTACAGGAACGTTTCCTCAGTCTGAAACCAATACTTCATCCTTTTTAAACGATTCTTTGCTTTATTTTAAATCCACTAAGACACCATGACAAATTGCAATCATTACTTCCATGCACACATAGCCTAATAAAATCATTAGCATTCAAATAATTGACATGTCAATTTTAAAGCTAAACATTCAATTTTTTTTTTCATCCATTATTTGTCCTCGATTGAATTTTGATATAAATTATCTCGAAAATAAAATATATATTCTCATAGCTATAAAACTTATAACATGCTGCATTGAATACACAAACAATTTAAATTCAAATTCTTTTCATCACTCGTTTAAACCTTTTTTATGCTTTAGAAAAAAATTGTTGAATCAAATCTTCAAAATTGTCATAAAATAAACAAAACTTTATAGTTGATCATAAAATTGACGGAACTGATTAAAATAAACACGACAAGCTATCATAAAATAGTTTTTATTTTTTTGTAAAATATAGAAATTGCTTTAGTTATGATGTAGCGATATGTCTATGAAAAATGCTTGATTTTTCGCAGACATATCAACAGACGAGTGAAATAAACTTCATCGTTTTTCTTTCTGGGGGTTATTTATAAATGACGTGTGACAATGTGTCAAAAACTGAGGTTTGCTAGTAATTCTTATCTTGAATCCATAAATGCTTTTGCCAAAAATTATTAGAAGGAGTCGGGAATCATCCTTAACAATTTATATGCTGGACATTATAAACAAATAACCCTCACAGATAAAAATTTTCTCAAACATGTTTTTTGCTAGCTCATCTTTTGTGCTTTATGATTTCCTTTTCTGTTTAGTCTGTTCGTCAATCAGTGAATGGAATTTGCGGATGATAATTAATTTTATTAAATATGTTTTTAGATCTTTGAGGAATTCAATTCTTGATTCATCGCTGTTATTACATTCCATGACCTATATTTCATTGGTTTCCGAAAAGGAATAATGATCAATTAGTAATCAAACTGCTTAAATGGGGCTCATTGATCCTACCAAATTTCAAAC